GGTATTTGGGGTCTGGGGGGGGTATTTGGGGTCTGGGGAGGCCTCGTGAGCCCCCTCCCCAATCCCCCGGCCCCCGCCAGGCCAAGACAAAGGGGAACAAGGTGGGGCTGGGGGTGAAATACGCGGAGAAGCAGCAGCGGCGCTTCCACCCCGAGAAGCTGCGCGAGGGCAGGAACATCATCGGGCTGCAGGTGACACCTGGGGACACCGGGGGAGGGCACGGGCGGCCGGGGGGGTGTCGGGGACAGCCGGTGACACCGTCACTGTCCCCAGATGGGCACCAACAAGTTCGCCAGCCAGCAGGGAATGACGGCGTACGGGACACGGCGACACCTGTACGACCCCAAACTGGGGACGGATCAACCCCTGGACCAGGCCACCATCAGCCTCCAGATGGGCACCAACAAAGGGGCCAGCCAGGTGGGGACAGGGGACAGGTGGGGACACAGGGACAGCCAGGTGGGGCCAGGTGGGGACACGGGGACAACCAGGTGGGGACAGGTGGGGCCACGGGGCCAGCCAGGTGGGGACAGGGGACACGGGGACAGCCAGGTGGGGCCAGGTGGGGACACGGGGACAACCAGGTGGGGACAGGTGGGGCCACGGGGCCAGCCAGGTGGGGACAGGGGACACGGGGACAGCCAGGTGGGGCCAGGTGGGGACACGGGGACAACCAGGTGGGGACAGGTGGGGCCACGGGGCCAGCCAGGTGGGGACAGGGGACACGGGGACAGCCAGGTGGGGCCAGGTGGGGACACGGGGACAACCAGGTGGGGACAGGTGGGGCCACGGGGCCAGCCAGGTGGGGACAGGGGACACGGGGACAGCCAGGTGGGGCCAGGTGGGGACACGGGGACAACCAGGTGGGGACAGGTGGGGCCACGGGGCCAGCCAGGTGGGGACAGGGGACACGGGGACAGCCAGGTGGGGCCAGGTGGGGACACGGGGACAACCAGGTGGGGACAGGTGGGGCCACGGGGCCAGCCAGGTGGGGACAGGGGACACGGGGACAGCCAGGTGGGGCCAGGTGGGGACACGGGGACAACCAGGTGGGGACAGGTGGGGCCACGGGGCCAGCCAGGTGGGGACAGGGGACACGGGGACAGCCAGGTGGGGCCAGGTGGGGACACGGGGACAACCAGGTGGGGACAGGTGGGGCCACGGGGCCAGCCAGGTGGGGACAGGGGACACGGGGACAGCCAGGTGGGGCCAGGTGGGGACACGGGGACAACCAGGTGGGGACAGGTGGGGCCACGGGGCCAGCCAGGTGGGGACAGGGGACACGGGGACAGCCAGGTGGGGCCAGGTGGGGACACGGGGACAACCAGGTGGGGACAGGTGGGGCCACGGGGCCAGCCAGGTGGGGACAGGGGACACGGGGACAGCCAGGTGGGGCCAGGTGGGGACACGGGGACAACCAGGTGGGGACAGGTGGGGCCACGGGGCCAGCCAGGTGGGGACAGGGGACACGGGGACAGCCAGGTGGGGCCAGGTGGGGACACGGGGACAACCAGGTGGGGACAGGTGGGGACAGGGGGACACAGGGGGACAGGGACAGAGGGACAGGGACATGGGAACACAGGGACACTGCCAGCCCGGGGTGACATGGAGCCATGGGGACACAGGGACAGAGGGACACGGGGACACAAGGACACTGCCAGCCCAGGGTGACACCAGGGTGGGACTCAGCTGTCCTGGGTTAGGGGGACAAAGAGACTTTGGGGACAAACGGGAGAGCGGGACACAGCCAGCAGGGGGCAGCAGGGGAGGGACAGAGGCGCCCCCGAGGTGCCACCAGAGCGGTGCAGGGGACAGAGGGGACACAGTGACCCCTCCTCGGGGTGAGTGGGGGTCTCCCCACCACCAACCCCAAACCCATCCCGGAGCAGTTGGGGTGGCACCACACCGGTGCAGGGGACAAAGGGGACACAGTGACCCCTGGGGGTGAGTGGGGGTCTCCCCACCGCCCCCAACCCCCCCGTGTCCCGGAGCAGTTGGGGTGTCACCACACCGGTGCAGGGGACAAAGGGGACACAGAGGCTGCCCAATGACCCCTGGGGGTGAGTGGGGGTCTCCCCACTACCAAGAACCCCAAACCCCCCGTGTCCCGGCTCAGGCGGGGTGTCACCACACCGGTGCAGGGGACAGAGGGGACCCAGTGACCCCTGGGGGTGAGTGGGGGTCTCCTCACCGCCCCCAACCCCGCCGTGTCCTGGCTCAGGCGAGGTGTCACCACACCGGTGCAGGGGACAGAGGGGACACAGAGGCTGCCCAATGACCCCTGGGGGTGAGTGGGGGTCTCCCCACCACCAAGAACCCCAACCCCCCGTGTCCCGGAGCAGTTGGGGTGCCACCACACCAGTGCAGGGGACAGAGGGGACACAGTGACCCCTCCTCGGGGTGAGTGGGGGGTCTCCCCACCGCCCCCAACCCCGCCGTGTCCCGGCTCAGGCGGGGATGACGGCTCCGGGCACCAAGCGGCAGATCTTCGAGCCGGCGCTGGGCATGGAGCACTGCGACACTCTGACCATCGGGCTGCAGATGGGCAGCAACAAGGGCGCGTCCCAGCAGGGCATGACCGTCTACGGCCTCCCCCGCCAGGTCTACGACCCCAAATACTGCGGGGGGCCCGAGCTGCTCGGCCACGACGGCTGCGACGGCCACCACGGCCTCTACAACTCGCAGTAGCCGCCGCTCGCCCCCGCACCCCCGACACCGCTGCTCACCGGCTTCAGACAGCTCGCCCCGGCCGCCCCCGGGGGATGGGAGAGGCCCCGGTGCCGCTGGTACCGGGGGAGGAACCGGGAGAGCCCCCGGTGCCACTCCCGGTACCTGCGGAGGAACCGGGAGAGCCCCCGGTGCCGCTCCCGGTACCTGCGGAGGAACCGGGACAGCCCCCGGTCCCGGTACCGGGGGGAGCTCCCGGGGAGGAACCGGGGGAGGAGCCCCCGGGGTTCGGCCCCCGCCACGTGTGGAGCCACCGAGAGGCACAATAAAAACCACAGGCAAAGGTGGTGGTGGTGGTGAGTGACAGGGGGGGACATTGGGGGACACCGAGGGACACTGAGGGACACTGAGGGGACACTGAGGGGACACCGGGGGGACACTGGGGGGACACTGAGGGACACTGGGGGACAGCAAGGGGACACTGAGGGGACAGAAAGGGGACACTGGGGGGACACTGAGGGACACTGAGGGACACTGAGGGACACTGGGGGACACTGGGGGACACTAAGGGGACACTGAGGGACACTGGGGGACAGCGAGGGGACACTGAGGGGACACTGAGGGGACACTGAGGGGACACTGAGGGGACACTGAGGGACACTGGGGGGACACTGGGGGGACACCGAGGGGACACCGAGGGGACACCGAGGGGACACTGAGGGGACACTGAGGGGACACTGAGGGACACAGGGGGACACTGGGGGGACAGGGGACAGAGGGACATCAACATGGGACAGGGGACACCGAGGGACACTGGGGGACACTGAGGGGACACTGAGGCGACAGGGGGACAATGAGGGACAGGGGGACATCAACATGGGATGGGGACAGGGGACATTGGGACAATGAGGGACAGGGGACACTGAGGGACCCCGAAGGACACCAAGGGGACACCAAGGGACACCGAGGGACACTGAGGGGACACCGAGGGACACTGAGGGACCCCGAAGGACACCAAGGGGACACTGAGGGACACTGAGGGGACACTGAGGGGACACCAAGGCACAGGTGACACCTCAGGGCGTTTATTCCAGCCCAGCTCTCCCCAAAACGCGTCACCGCTGTCCCAACGTCCCCAAATCCCCTTGGGGATGAGCAGATGTCACCCCCACACCGGTCCTGGGGGTGTCACCGGGTCCTGGGGGTGTCACTGGGGGTGTCACCGATCCCTGGGGGTGTCACCAGGGGTGTCACTGGTCCCCGGGGGGTGTCACCGTGTCCCGGGGATGTCACCAAAGGTGTCACCGATCCCTGGGGGTGTCACCGGGGGTGTCACCGTGTCCTGGGGGTGTCACCAGGGGTGTCACCGATCCCAGGAGGTGTCACCGGGGGTGTCACCAATCCCTGGGGGTGTCACCGGGGGGTGTCACCGATCCCAGGAGGTGTCACCGGGGGTGTCACCAATCCCTGGGGGTGTCACCGGGGGGTGTCACCGATCCCAGGAGGTGTCACCGGGGGGTGTCACCGTGTCCAGGGGGTGTCACCAGGGGTGTCACCGATCCCGGGGGGTGTCACCAATCCCAGGGGGTGTCACTGGGGGTGTCACCGTGTCCTGGAGGTGTCACCGGGGGTGTCACCGCTCCCGGGGGGTGTTTGGGGACCCGTCCCCCCCCCGGGGGTGTCACTGGTTTGCGGCTTCGCAGGCGTCGATCCAATCGCTGTAAACGTCCACGGGCTCCGACAGGTCTGGGGGGGCCGTTAAGGCTCCAACGCGGCTCGGGGGGGTCCCGGTGGCTCGGGGGGGGGTC